AAGGCTGTATTTGAGCGAGAAACAGCAAACATTCTAATTTAATTCCAGTGGTGTTCCTGTTAGTACTGCTGTGTAGCACATCACCCCCAAAATTTAGTGACTTAACAACGTTTTTTTATGCTCATATTGTCTGTGTAGTCAGGAATTCAAACAGGGTCCAGTGGGGTCAGTTGGTCTCTGCTCCATCAGGTCTGGCGTCTCAGCTGGGGCTGCTCAAAAGCTGGGTGCTGGAATCAACTGAAGGTTCATCATTCTGGGGGTTGATACTAGCTGTTGGCTGAGAGGTTAGCTGGGGTCAGCCAGACCCACGTGGCCTCTCTGTATGGCCGGGGCTTCCTCACAACCTGGTGGCTGGATGCCAAGGGAGAGCCTCCTGAGGGAAAGCAAGAGCCAGGGAAATTGTCTTGCCTTTTGTGACCTACCTTCCAAAGCCAGGCAGCATCACTTCCACTTCCACATACTCTTGACGGAGGCAGTTACAGAGCCACCCCCCCTCAAGTTTAAAGAAGGGAACATAGAACCCCACCCTACAACATGCTCAAAGGAGGCGTACAATAGCACATTGAAGAAGAGTATGGGGGATGGGGTGTATGTTGTTGCAGTCATCTTTGGAGAGCACAGTCCACCACAACTAGTATTTGTCAAGTCTGGCACAATGCAGCCTCATCTATTTTCAAAGACAGGCTAAAGAACCTCCCACATTAGATAATAAAACTGTCCCTTAACTCACAGGATGTCTGGGTTGAAAGGGCTCCCAGAAGCCAGACTAGGCTTTTTCGTCCCTGAGGTGGGACTCCTTGAGGACATGCTGGAGTCAGGAGGCCCTGCAGCTGGTGGAAGCCTCTACCTGACAGTGCATCTCTGCAAGAGTGGGTCCAGTTTGCACCCCACAGCTTGACATGCCAGGTCTGGAGGGGGACTTAGACCTGTCACCAAGGACTCCACAAGCCTTGAGACCTTCTTCATTCCCACCCAGGGCTCCCCCAACTCCATGGCCTTCCAAGCTGGGGTAGGTTCCAGCCAAAGACAGGACATAAGGGACTGTCAGAGCTGTGCTGGAGATGGGAGGTCCGGGCAGCCCTTCCTCCCTGACCCCCGATGTCCTCTTCTCTTCTTCCTTCCCCTCTGACACATAGTATAATCTGCGAGCTGCACCCTAAAGGACCAGGCTCCTTCCCTTTGCCATTTTCCTGACACAGATGCAGCAAAATTTTGGAAGAGAATCTGAGTGCCCTGATGCCTTGTGACTTAAGGAGACAGAAACAAAATTCAGGCAAAGAGCAGACAGAACCAGTCTATTTATCCCAAACGACCCAAATCTGAGAGTGGCTAATGTGGAAAAAGAATAAACAGGGAAGAGAAGGGAGGGTGGGCTTGGTTTTTGATGGAAAGGTGATGGGGTTTGGAGGGAGACTTGGAGTCTTCCACAAGTCAGCTAAATGGTAACATTAATAACCAACATTTATTAAGCGCTTACTACATGCTAGACACTAGGCTAAGCATTTGATGTGCATTTTCTCATTGAACACTTACACTACTTTATGAGATACTGTTATTATCTCCATGTTACCGAAAAGAGCGGAGGCTCAGAGAACACCAAAAATACTCTAATAAGTGACAGGGAAAGTTAGTGACAGAGTTGAAATCAAATTAGGAAACCATTTCATTGTGTGGCTCCAAGAACCTCAGTTTACTCCCCTGTAAAACGGGAACGTCTGATTACATCATTTCCAATGTCACCCTCAGTTCTAAGATTCTAAATGTGCACCATAGATTTTGGGAACTTGTTTAGATATTTCTAAAGTGGGGGCCCACTTTCTGGAAATGGGTCTGTGTGAAAGCGTGGAACGGTTTTCTGTTCTCTCCTTCCCCCTTCTGTGAAACTTAGGTCAGGAAATTAATGTTTAATATGGGCAGCTGAAGGAAACAGACAAAAAAATAAAGATCATTTGTGTTTTCAAAGCTCCAGCTTGGGGGCAAAATACGTTGGGTTTGAAGTTCAAAACTGGCTTAGAATCCCAGCCTGTGACTTAGCACCTTGCGGTCCTGAGCACATCTCTTTGGTCTTCGATTCCTCATCTCTAAACTGAAAATGAGATTGTACACCCTTCCCAGGACTGCTGTGGGACTAAATGAAATCCAGCATGTGACAGCGCTGGAGCCGTTCCAGGCACACAATAGTTACTTAGAATGGTTCAGCCATTCGTCCACTCAGTAAATAAATGAAAAATGGGGCTGGAAAGATTGTTCCTCCCCATTACTTTTGACATAGATGGTCAAGAATCTTCCCTTTAACTGTACCCTCCATAAAAGTTCACTCATAAACTATTGATATTTTAATAATACACATTAGCATCTTGCCCTTTGACAAATGAATATTGAATGAGCAATAAAGAGTAACCAGGTATAGAGCTGTGGGAAGATGGAAGCATGAGTAGTGGTCAGAGGGGATGCCCCTTTCCAGGACCTTGGGACTCACCTCTCTCCCCAGTGACCCTTAGGAAATAGCTCTTAAAAGGAGCTTAGATTCCAGCCCAGCCCAAGCAGGATTTGTCCTCTGCTTTCTTTCACTTGGCTGGAGGAGACTTGGGAGAAGAGAGAACAGGCCATTGAAGAGCTGCTAAAGGGAGGGAACGGTTGACCCGCACATGAAATAATTTGGATCTCCCCACTATATTTGCTACAGGTGCAAGTTTCTTCCTCCTATGCTCTCTCTTGCTCCATAAATTAAGTCTACAGACAGATCACGTGCCCACAAGAAATCAGGCATCAAGTTTAGAAATAACTCAAACTATTGATAGTTCTGCCGCCTTCTCTCCTTCCTCCACCAGGTCTGATGGGCGCCTATGCTTGGGGTGTGTGTTAAGGTTTATAAGACACAATTCCCTGCCTCTCGCAGCACCTGCTCCCAGCCCTGCTGCCACAGCCTCCAGTTCTTCGTGGCCTCCATCTAGGCTAGGGGTCCTTGAGTGTGCAGAGAATAGTGACAGGGGCACTTCGTTGGTCCGACTTAATTGGTGTGATTTAATGGTGTTTCTGGCAGATCCAGATTTATACAGCTTTCTGAGCTGCAAATCTGCTTTCTAAATGTAGAATTTTTGTGGAGTGGTAAAAAATAATGGCTGTTCTGTGATTCCTGCCTCCCGAGCTAGGAGATTGCAATTTACATTATGCAAATAGACATTATGCAATCAAGGCACTTTAGCAGGAATCTGACGGCAAAGAGGCCGCTGATGAGATGCTGAGGTCTGTAGCCCCAACTGGAGGGGCTCTGGAAGAGGAAGCCAAAGTAGGTTGGGGGTGGGGCGGGTGGGGAGGA